GCGTTTCGTTACAGTATCGACCATCCAGTCGTAATTGGCTGGAACCGGCTTGATGCCTCGAATGGCTTTCTCAGCTGCTCCTTGCAAACTTTCTCTGAGATGTACGATTTTTTCGACTGTAGATAACTCGTCATTTTCATGTATGAGCGTCTCAAAGACGGCCCAATACTCTGGAAATTCTTCCTGGCTACCACTAAATGTCGGTAATGCGACTGATGGCGCTTTAATAGTACGTGTTTTTCTAACTGGCAATGTTTGCGTGTTAGCAGACTCATTGCTAATCGTACTAGACTCGCCTGGTTCGTCTTCCTGAACGTTTTGACTGGAAGACTCACTTGCCACGTCTTCCTGAACATTTTGACCGGAAGGTTCTACGTGGACAGGGATTTTCAATTTACATTGTACCTGTTGTAATTTTATTTTTGCGTCTGTGATCTGAGTTTTAACCCTGAGCACGAAATTGGCGGAATCGTTAAGAATTTTAGAATATTCCGATTCTTTTTCAAACTCTTCAATCTCCGCAATCCATTCTTTTTGCTCAGTTTTGGATTTGATACCCATGAAAACTTGCTCCATACTGTCAACTTTGCTCTCGAGCGTTTCTGTATACTCCTTTACCTCGTCTAGGCACTCAGCTAATGATATCAAGTTTGCTGCGCATTTATCATGCCGTTCCTGATCGTCCTCTGGGTAGTCGACCTTTTTTCCGTGTCCATTAGCTTCGTACGTTTTGAGAAGCTCTGACAGTCTGGACGAACTGGTACGGATGGCTTTTTTGTGAAAATATAGAGACATGTTTGATTATTTGGCTCTAACACAAAAATTTCCAACTGCTTTTGAGTTGGGAACGTGTGACAAACAAAGGTTTGTAATTTAGGGCTAGCTGAGTCCCAAGGTCGAGTAGATCAACCTCAAATACGGCGATAGTTTGGCCGATGCACCAAAAATGTGGCGACTTGAGGCTTATGGTATAGCCTAATGTGTACAGGGCGTATGGCAGGCCCTTTTTAGTACAATAAGAAAGTGGTTCAGTGGTTATGTTTATCAGGATATTGACAACGTGCTCGGGAGAGCGCAAAACGAAGAGTGCGGGGCTACGCGCCCCGCCCCTAATGCAAGAAAGGGGGCCGCCATCGGCAGGGGTTCTGGCGTGCCAGAACATATGTCAGCAAGTTTGAGATATGGTTGCTCCAGTTATTCGATAAATCATTCGAATATTTATTGGAAACTATTCGACTTCCAATGTTCGAATATATTCGATATTCATTCATTCGATATTTTTGATTTTCCGAATTTATACGGAATTCATTCATTCGAGAATTTTTGAACCTCGAATTTATTCGATATTCGTTTATTCGAGGTTTTTTATTTTCGAATTTCGATATTCGTTTATTCGAAATTTTTCCTTTTCGAATTTATTCGATATTCATTCATTCGACGGAAAATTTTCGAATTACCCAAGTATACAGGCCATGCGTTTCAGCAAGTCGCAACTGCATGAGTGTGCCGCACGCATTTACCATCCATAGCTTTTCACAAAAACGTAAAAATTTACACCATGATTGCTACCCCTGCTCGGCAATCTCTTCTTGCGGCAGGCATGAACATGTTGGCATCACGCGACGAGATTTTATTAGGTTGTCCCATTAGTCCTTTCCCTTTGAATTTCCGCTATAATAAGCTATATACTTTTTATTCTAAATGGACATCAGGATACCATTCGATAGAGCAAAGCAAGCTCTATAAAGCTCTATAAGAAGGCGTTCATGCTTTTGCACCAGCTTTGAACCACCTCAAATTTGAAACCAAAATCTAAAGTTTCGGATACCCAAAAAATCGAAATGTTATATCTTCGTTTAAAGAAGTCCATATAGATCTCTCAATCTCTCACGCATATAAACTCACATCAGACACTCATATGTGCTGTTGCTGTATTTCTTATTAGCTACGAATCAAGAAAACGAGAATATCCATGTTTTCAACAAAATTATGCTGCGCTGTTCTTACACTTACAGTTATACTACAAGCCCTTGGGGTTGTTTCATACTGCAATCGCTACAGCAACGGCAGTCAATCGATCGCTTCTTTTGCCCGCCCACATATGACTGCAGTAGCTGCAGCGACTGCAGTATGAAACGACCCTTAGAGATACAATCGTGAATTTTAACTCTCTATAAGCTCTAGTTCACGAGAAATATTGATTCAAGCGTGAAAAACCCGAATGAGCAAAGCTAAATTCGACATTTTTTCGGGAAATAGAGCTTACGAGGGAACAATACTTGGTGTCCGTGGCCTTTTGAGATGAAACGTAAACCATCACACTCGTTTTGGAACGCTGCTTCCAATCTGAGTTCCTTTTCTGCTAATCATTTCTCTGAAAGAAGTTATGAAGGATTTTCGCTTCAATGGTCGCCTAAGAGAAATGCGACCGAGGATGCCCAACTTTCAAAATGAAGCTTGATTAAGGCAATGCAAAACTGAAAAACACAAAGGGACTCGAATCTAAACCTACATTAACTTGCGAGGCTATTTACTAGCCATTACATGACATCTTAGCGGCGGTTTTGGCATTGCGACCACGTTTCCTTTGGCGCAAAAATCCTTCATAACTTCTGTTAGAAAAACGATTAGCAGAAACGGAAGTCAGATTCGGAATTAGCGCTCCAAGATGAGTGTAATGGTATACATCTCATCTCAAAAGGCCACGGACACCAAGTATCGTTTCCTTGTTAGAGAAAGCTGAAAATTCACGATTGTACTTCCAAGGGCTTGTGATATAACCTTTGATTCAACTACCTTGGCACCATTAAAGCGGGGTTTTGTGATTTAACTGAGGCCGCTCGCGCCCGCGACGCACCTGAGTCTCTCTCGCGCGAGTGCTCTCTGATCATTATCTAGCCTTGATTAGGTCAAGAAGCCCCGCCTTTGCCGAAGCCAAGCCAGTTGAATCAAATGGTATATAACTGTTAGTGTAAGAACAGCACAGCACTTTGATAAAAACATGATAATTTTTGTTTTCTTGATTTCGAGTGGAGAAAAAAGCTTGCTTTGCTCCATCAAATGGTATTCTGATGTATATTTTTAGAATAAAAAGTGTATGACATATTCCAGCGAAAACACAAAAATGAAAAGACTCATGACTGCTACTAATTATCTCGAATCACGCAATCTCGGTTAAATTCAATGCAGCTTTTTCCCTTTCTATTACAACCACAGCATAGTTGCGATAGTGTGAGAATTTGCTCACCCCCCCCCTCCTTTCACCCCTAAACCTGGACCAAGGTGACCTCTTCACCAAAAGCCAAGAAAAAAATCAGCAGTGAGGTCAGGCTAAGCAAAGGAGATATTTTTATGGAAATTGTTTGTGTATCGGAAATGAGGAAGAAGATTTATAGGCATTCAAGAATTTCCAGCAAGAAAGAAATAGTAGCTTCTGTAGCTGCACAGCAACGTCAGCGAGAAAAGTTTCGTGGAACAACGTTCCCCTCTGGTTTCAAAGTATAAAGTTTGAGAGTCCGTTCATAGAAGTACCTAGTTATTTTATGAACAGAAAGTACACATTTCGTGAACAGAAAGATAGTAATTTCCATATTTCCCTCCACTATCTTTCATTATTTTACATTTTGTGGCCAAACTTCCTCTAAACAGCGAAAATTGGTATGAAAGTATGAAATCCTTTGCAAAATATGGAACAGTATGCACTGCGAGTGAGTTAACCAACTTTTCTGTGGATCCGATTACTGCCAACGGTCGCGCGCGGCGTCTGCATAATTGACAGTCACAAGTGATGGGATATATCCAGACTAATTGCTCAGACACTGGGACCGGGCGAGCCAGGGCCTCAAAAGGCCTTGGCCCGTCCGCGGCCTTAATTTGTGGGCGTGGCCGGAGTGCGGCCGAGCCGCGGACCTTAATTCATGTCAATATCATTGCACCGGCCGAGCCGCGGACTTAATATGGCTTACCGGCTCAGCCGCGGCCTTAATGATGGGGGTGGAGCATTGCAACGGCTGAGCCGCGGACCAAAATCTCTATAATGAAACTCCGGCCGAGCCGCGGCCTATGTCAGATAAGGTTCGCGGCTCGGCCGCTCCCAGTATCTGAGCATAAAGAATACTTGCGTGATGTACGACGCATGGTCAGGCTGCCCTCAGTTTCCATAGCCTTCGATGTCTTTCCAGTCTCCAAGGCGGGAACAAGATCAATATGTTGTACAACCTTGGATAGCATCTTGTGTGGTCCAACGTTGAAGTCGGACTTGATTTCCGAAGCCGTTATATCGGTGGCCTCAAGTTTTTTTTACTGTATATATTTTACGTGCCAGTGGTTGAAAAACAGTTCTACTGTATCCGGCTAGAATGAACTAAACGGCCCGACAACCAGCTCCGGCTGAGCCGAGGCCCACAATCGGCTGAGCCGTGGCCCAAAAGCGGACGAGCCGAGGCTGTTTTCCGGCCGAGCCGCGGCCCATCTCCGGCCGGGCCGCGGACGCTGCGAACCAGCCGAAAAAGGTCCGCGGCTAGGCCGCTCCCAGTGTCTGAGTGTGTGTTCAAAGGCAGTGTCCCGGCAAATCTGGACCTATGGGGATTTCATTTGAAAAATAATTTTGGGGCCCTGGCTAAGGCATTGCTCAAGCGACAGCGCAGGTGACTCACCAACGGCTGAGATATACGCCTCCAACTGGACTCTAGGATCGTAATTCCCATGGATTGCTGGTGCAACCCATCATTTTCGCGCAAGGACCCAAGCGAAACTGATAAGTTGCGCCACGAATCCATGTGAAATACGAGCCTGGGATCCAGTTTTGAGGGAGATATCTCGACCGTTAATGAGTCACCTGCCGGTTGGGTAGTGGTTTAGTTAAGGCCCGAAAATTATTATCCACATGTGATCCCCATATGTCCAGTTTGCCTGGACGCTGCCTTCAAACAAAAAAGTGAGAGCTACTTTTCAACTATACATATGAGCTTATGATAGCTAAAGCTAGTACCTAAACTCACATTCACCACTTTTAGCTTTCCTCCTAAGCATATCGAAACTCACGTTGTTGTTCTTCATTCACGACGAAATAACAGGACGTTTCTGAAATTAATTAGAAAGTTGCTTTGCTGGTAAGACCGCACCAACTTACCTAACGCGCCTGACAATTCGTCTTCATCACGCCTGACAATTCATCTTCATCAATGTCGGAATTTTCTCGTGATTGGTGCATAGCATAGCCTATCGACTCATAGTTACTCTTGTGTGCCCGGGCCTAGTCTATCCTCTCCCTCCCAACACTTTGTCTCTGACTTTGGTCCACTGGTTGTACAGTAAATAATTGGCGTAGACCCAGACTCTTCAAGCCAAACATCTTCTCCGCTTGTGTTGTTCTCATGATTACCGCAACGCAGTCCAGAAAGCTCAAGAAGCTTTCTTCCCGAAACAAGGTAATATTTGTCCAGTAATGCTGGATCTGTCTTTGCCCGTTGCCACGTATCGTCAGATGTCGATGCTTGCGTCTCAGAAGGACTGAAGAAGTTATTCTGAAAGGTTTTATTGTGATAAAACTTTCATCAGTTCATTGCTATGGATCGACTTCTGTACATTAGTAAATCGTCTGACCGATGTTTCTACGGGAGATTCTAACTCTTCCAGCTTGATAAAAGACTGAGAAGCAGTGTCCATTGAATGATTATTATCCTCAGAAACGGGCTTCGTCTCCTCCATTAGAATCTAAACTCCAGGTTTGAAGCGGTATCATTTGTGGCACCGTGACGATATACGCACCCTGTGACTGCATTTATATGATTTAAATCAGGTTTTATATGATGTACGCTGGCAAGTCTCCCTCGCAATCGAAGTGGCATCTCAATGAAAGTGTTACCGGCTCAGCGACTTCCGTGTTCGCGGCCGTTTCGCTCGGTCCTTGCGTCGAGTTCGCGAACATATTTTCCCACATATGAGCAGCTGCAACCTGGCGAGAGTGGAAAAACCCAAAGCCCATTCGTTCACGAACGCAGCGAAAGGCCGAACCAGACGCCCGCGAAGACTCAAGTCGCTGGGGGGGGGGGGGGAGGGGGGCACACCACCACTGGAACTCCTATAACTCAGGGGAGCCCAGGCAAGTCGGGCACATGGAGATCGCATGTGGAAATCGATTTTGAGGACCTGACTGAGACAATGCTGGGGCAGTGCACCGTGCATTCGCATTTAAGATATTCGTCTCCAAACCAAACCTCGTTACGTATTTGGCAAACGACTGCAGGCATGAGTTTATGCTACTATGTAGAGCTCCATCGTCCTCGTAATGAGTCCCGCGCAAAACCCGCAAGTCCATTCAAACCTTCCTCTAAACGATACTGAGAGACAGGTGAAAGGCATGGGTATAAGCTCCTGCATGACGAAGGCGGCCGGTTCGATGTGCAACGCGGCTGCGTCACAGCCGCATCTAGCCGCGTCATAGCCACGTCGCACACCGAACCAACCGCCTTCGTTTTGCAGGAGCTTATAGAGGTTTTGGTTCCGGTGCCATGCGAAAGGGTCCCTCGGACACGACATCGCACAAGTGCGAGGCCACAGGTTTAGAAGCAAATGAAAAAGTAAATTTGTGCGGCTTACGCCTAAAGGAGAAACCTCGCTCACCTGTGGCCGTATTCATCAACGAACCCAGTGAGTTCCGCTACACAGTGGTTAAGCGAGAATAACCCGCTGGGATGAATCGATATCCACAAAAAGCATTGTTGGGTTCGCGAACCCACCAGCTTCGTGAATACCGATTTCGTGAGTTAAGCCTACCCAGTGGGTTCTGGAACCCTCTGGTTCGTTGATGAATACGGCCACGATTTCATGCTCCGCGCCAATACACATGCCGCCGCAGTTTGCTTGCAGGATCCCGCAGCAACTCTGCTTCTCAGGCTTGGCAGCGGTTGCATACGCGTCCAAGTTCAAATTGTTATGGGTTTGGAAAAACACCCGTTCGCACCGCCCTTCTCGCGCTCTCTAATGTATATTTCCGAATCCGTAGCGGATAACCACGGTTAAGCGTGGGGTCAGGCGTCCGACCTGGAAGGAGGGGGGGAGGGAGGAGGGTCGCATTGGGGATGAGACTGAGGGGGGGGGGGGTAATCAAGAATCGAATTTCTTCAAAAAGCGCGAGACCGGTATCACAACTCTGCCAGAACTGAAGGAAGTGTCGTGAACAGCACACTGATTAACTCCACTACCGAAGCCTCAGCCATCAATTCTATATTCTTATACACATATCGTAAGGTCACCAAAGAAGATTGCTGTGTTAATTGAGCATAATTTCCGTAACCAGCATGTCAAATTACTTTTACGAGCTCCACAAAGCATTACCTTATACATCTGGTGTTTACATACATACATTTATTCATCCTCAGCGGTTATGTACAGATACCGCGATGATTGCGTGAGTTAGGCAACTTCGATTTCGATCGCTTTGATGACAAGAATCCATTCTCGCTCGTGCCGAACACCGCATTCTCGTGACGTCGCGATCTTGATCCATGACTTCTCGACTGAGTAGACGCGGTGGACCAGCCACGGTTTCTTCCACCTTGTCTTCTTAACCCTATTCCTGGTGGATGGTATAGGTCAGAGCTGAGAGCTAGCCGACCGTTTGCGGGAGGGATGAGGAGAGAAGTATACTTCCTCTTCGTTTCCCAACTCAAAAAGCGTTATTACCATGATTTCATTTCCAAAGCCAAAGAAGCCAGTTTTTTTCATGCTCATAACACCAAATACTCTCTATCAGCCTTAATTAGACGTCACATCGCTTTCAATTAATGGATTGAGAAGCGCTGCCAGAATTTCAACCAGCGCTTTTTTCCCTTTAAAGGCACCGTCCACCCGAAATGTGGTCCATGAAATTTTGATGCTAACAGTAGTGGTGCCCCCAATGTGTGAAGCGAGAAATTTGCTCCAAATATCGCTTTGAATGACGGATTCGCCACTTGGCTCCTTCTCTTTGAGTGGGCGTGACGTTCGTCCCGTCCATTTGAGCGCACCTCACCAATCACCGTTCCGCACAACTCGCCCCGCGGGTTCTCCGAGACGGAGTTTGTCGGGTTATCAGGGATTCTTGAATTCATATTCGGAATAAGGGACATAAGAAGGCCCTGGAACGACAAAAACGTGGAAGCCGAGAATTTGGGCGGACAGAGCCTTCAAAGACAGCGGATTTGACGTGGGAAGTAATTTTGGGGCCCCTAACTAAGGCATGGCCCAAGCGGCAGCGCAAGTGACTAACTAAAGTGATATACGCTTCCAACTAGACCCCCAGGGTCGGCATCATCGGATGACATGCATCGTGTTTGCATGCCTTCCTCAAGGACCCCCGCAAATCTGTGCCGCGCCATGAATCCACGCGAAGTACGACCATGGGATCCAGTTTGGAGGCGAATATCTCAGCCGTTAGGACACCAACTGCGCTGCCTTTTGGGCAGTGTCTTAATTGAGGTCCCAAAATTAATGTCCACGTGAAATCCCCATATGTCCAGATTTGCCTGACGCTGCCTCTGAGTATTCTTCACCTCACGTCACCACAAAGGTAGGCGCCAGACTTATCCGATTCGGTCGGTTCATGCGTCCACTCCTTCGCTATTGGTCAATGACTGGATTGACCAATAGAGAACGGCCGAACGACGACGACCGGTTGAACCGTCCGGGGGTGAAGTCTGGCACCTGCCAATGCGAGATAGGCTCAAATATCTATTGTGGACCTTCGAGGTTTGTGCTAGCGTCACGGACTTCGTGATAAAGCTTTTTTGAAAACAAAGTTAATGAGGTCAGCCAACCCCTCAGAAGGCCAGGCTCCCTGAGCTTTTTGTAGCCTTCCTCACCCTCCTAGCTTGCCCTCAAAATTCGCTCCCCGGTATAAGATTTGAGCTCATAGTCTCTTCCTGCCACAGCGAAAATTCGGAGCCAAATACCCCACCTGGGCTTTCAATAGGCCCATTCGATATAAATTCGCCGTCAAACCATGTGCTTGTAGAAGTGCAGTTACAGAAACCGGGCGTAAAGACTCAAAACAAAAACTCTTCAGGGCTCCGGAAGTGGAGAGGAGGAATGAGGCATTTTAGTGCTTTCAGGAAGGGGGAGGGGGCGTCGTTCTCAAGAGGCTTGTGCCTGACCTCTCGCTCATCTCCGGGATAACCTTGGGTAAGCCAACTCGCTAGAGATTACGTTTTTGCCCGAAAACTTTTGTGCCTTAGTCAATGAATACCGCTAATCTAGGTAATACGGGCTAAATGGCAGATTCGTTGCTGTGTACGATTACTTTATCACTACCTCCCCAAAATTCAGCGGTTCTATTCTTGAACAAAGACAAGCATTGCGGCTTTTGGCGACCGCACTGGTGTTATAGGACAAGAAGTGGATCGTCGGTTGACCGAGTTCTTAGTGCCGTATCAAGGCCCCCACTCTGATCCTGAGAATTGAACGTACCTCTGCATGCTCAGGCTGCTCATCTTCTCGGACATAGTCTGTCTCATGAAAGTTGAGGGTGAAATGACTGGAGTACTTCGTCAAGTAAGTGTTGACGTAACGGTTCACGTCCCCGACGCTGACTTTGATGTCATCCTGTAAATCCTTCCAAGTGAAAGAGAATTTTCGCCAATCTGCCACTGACCGAAAATGTTTTTATTGCTTCATTCAAACAATTAGGAATGCGTGCGGATATTTCTGCTTCATTCAGATACGAAGTATTTTCTGCTGTTTTAGACACTCTTCCACCATTCGCGACTACTTCTGCCAACAGGTGTTGCACCTGTTTATATCGAAACCTTACTTTCTATCGCGAAAATGGTGTAAAGACTTACAGCATCCACAATGTGACTGATGCAGACATACTTTGTCTTTGTTTGAAAAACTACAAAGCAGATTTCCATCAAATCTTGTTCCATCGATGCGTATTTCTGCAGAGTCGAGAGAAAGATGGCGTTATGAATCTTACTCTTGGACGAACGCATCAAACGCTTTTCATCAACTCTGTTTCCACACATAATGCATACTCTCTTGACCATGGTTGTAAATCTTACCTGAAAACTTCCCTATAGCAACAACCAAGGCCAGATTCGAGAAAGCACGGGAGTAGTGTAACATGTACAAGTACGTTAACGCATGAAAATATAACAAGAAGGAATGGGTCTAACGATAAGATTGATGTCAGTTGAGTAAGGATGATGCAGCAAGCAATGGAACACTTTTCGCTGGCGAATGTTTACGCCTCCTAGGTCCGAAGGTCTTAGAATTCATGAAGCGGCAGCTTCTAGACTAAGGGGTTATCTGACTTGCTTACAGTATATTGTACGAATCGAAACCATAGGTTTCGGTTCGGGAGCTTAAAGGCAGTGTCCGGGCAAAAAGTTGATTTTGAGATTTTGTGCTTACCCGGACCTATTCCCTATGCTGAATCCGAATATCCACATTGGAAAGCGCGAAAACGGCGAAAAAGGGCTCTAACGCAGGAGTGAAATCAAAAGTGGGCGGGGTCTTTCCCAAGGTGAATTCACGGTCCCAGCTTTCGGAGCGATCTTTTCAATTCCACTAACCGCCCTGACATCTCAACGGACCAAGTGCGAATGCATGATCTGAAGTCGGAAGCGAAAAGATCGCTCCGGGAGCAGTGTCCGAGCAAGAAATCGATTTTGGGATTTTTTGCTTACCTGGGCCTATTCGCTACGCTGAATCCGAAAATCCACGCCGGAGAACGAGAAAGCTTCGAAAGGGGCTCCAACGCAGTGGGGGGGGGGAAGCCACAGGTGAGGTGGGGGCCTTCACTCTGTCATGTCACCCTGTCAGCTTCCGGAGCGATCTTCTCGCTTCCGCTAATCGCCCTAACATCGCCACCAGCTAAGCGCAATTCGCTATCTGCCAAGCGCGAACGCGTGACTCGAAGCGAGAACCGAGAAGATCGCTCCGGGAGTTGGGAGTGTGACGTCACAGTATGGAAGACTCCGCCCATTTCTGACTTCATGCGTAAGAGTCCTTTCTCGCTGTTTTCGCCCTCTTCAGTACATATTTTCGCGTTCAGCATAGCGAATAGGCCCAAGCAAAAAATTACAAAATTGACTTGTTAAACAATGCCAATTTGAGCATGTTCTTCCATGAATTCCTAAATACACGAGAACGCCTTAAAACGCATTCATAAACTTGTTAGTCACTATGTAAAGCGTGCTCGTGTCTCTTAGTCTGAGAATGGATTACAGAGATTATGAGAATCTTAATTATTACTACGTATATGTCCCAGTGATATACCCATGAGTATTAGCCATGCGACATGAAAGAGAAAAGTTAGAAGTCGAAATGGCCAGTCCCAACAAGCATAACTATATACCACTAGATGCAGCACGAGTGAGACAGTTACTTAAAATCTCTCTTATCTGCTAAACGCCTATGTGGACGAAGTAATAGATTTGGACGTACAGATCCTTATTTGGCTGATAACGTACCCAAAGGTGAGCTAAAAAGGCATTAATATCTAATTTTGCATAAATTCCTTGCAATAATGTTCATAACTTCCCCACAAAAGGGTCTCGCAGAGGGAAACCGATTTGTGATCAGCGTCCTGTGCCGCGTCACTGGTTTGCAGCTTATTTGGTACCCACTTCTATTTTTTTGAGAAAAAGCCAGAACCGATCAAAATGACGAAAGCAAGATATTGTAGGCTTACGATGTACGAGAAAGTATGAAAAAGGAAGTGCATGTGGAATTGATTCATACTCGGATTTGAACACGAAAAGCCGTCAATGAACATGTTTTGAGTAAGAAATCAATCGCCTTTCACTGACCAACAGCTATCTAGATATTTAGTGATTATTATAGCTATCCAAAGCAGAGATTCTGAACAACGAAGGCAACGATTAGAGGAAACAAAATGGTTTTTGAGAAAAAGTTGTAAGCGCGGAATCGACATTTGCGTGCTGTATTGATTGGAGCGCATTATTAACCAGACATGCATGTGTTTGCGAATTCTGCTCACTTGTTTTGCCCTAATGGGGTCGTAGCTTTCTATTCATGAAAAGTAATAATCATCCATGTATGAAAAAACACTATTGATTGTGTCATTGAAGAGAAAACATGTAACAATAAGAATCAACTTTCACTCTCGAAATCCAAAAGGTAGACGGTGAGAAGAACTGAAACAGACATCAAGTTTGAGTAACCGCACTCTTTTCAGCTTTTTCAAGCGCTTTTATTCGTGCAGAAGCAGCTATCGACCTTGAGTTTACCAAGTACCAAGCGAGTAACTTCTTAGGGGGTTTTATATGATCTCTACCCGTTGTTTTCTGTGTAAACCGCTCACTACCTGCTATTGATCGTCGCCGTCGCGCTCCTGATATTTGAAGTGCAATGTTTTCACATTTTCTTCTGTTACACCACTTTTAAAACTTTTACACGTGCGTTTTGTTATTGAAGGTTTCTTTCGTTGACGAAGGCAGCAATGCAATCGCTTTAGTTGGCGTTTGTGCTCAAATGTGTTTGTTACCTCCTCCAAAACGTCTACGATTTTTATATTAAAAATTTGAGGCAAAAGTTCTACTAAGTTTTCCATTCCGCATTGTTCTCAAGGCGCGCTCGCCACTTGGGCAGACTCAAGACATTGTCGTGGTTCTATCTCACGTAAAGAGCAGAGGCGCGACCCTTAATAAAAAATGGGGGCAGTTTTTTTTTTGACATGTGGTCGGTTCTTGCTGGCACTATCTTTCGAAAAAAAAGTAATTTAAAAAAGCTCAACAGCTGAGCATCATCCACGGAGAGGTGAGAAGCTAAAGTTAATAATTTGAAACTGCTCGGGAAAAAACGTTGTCGCTACAGTGCAGCTGTTGAACTTTTCAAATATCAACCATTCTCTGATTAAGAGACGCGAGCCATACGTGTGATTAGAGTTTCAACGCGTTTTGGTTGATTTACTATTAGGTACCGTCTGCGCCCCAGAGAGGTTCCCATGTGAACCAGCGTGCGTACGTGGTGCGACACTGCCTTTCGCTCTTTTTGACACGTTTCTCGTGAGATTTCAACGGAAGTGCCCAAGTTAACACGTTCAAAAGTGCGAAAGGCAGCGAGATGACGTGGTACCTATGGGAATCCTGCTGGGGAACAAACGATACATTCGAGCATGTTGAACAATGCTAGTTCGAACACGTTCTTTCACGAATTCCAATAGTAAATCAACCAAAACGCGTTAGAACTTATCCACGAACTTGTTAATCAAAACGTACGCAAAGCGTGCTCGGGTCTCTTATTCAGAGAATGAATGATACTCAGGCCCTCAGAACTCGCAAAAAACGGTCTTCTTTGTGTTAAAAGCAAAGTCCGGGCAAAAACTCGACTTTTAGAAAATCCACTTACCGGGTTCGCAGCACTGAATCCAAAAATCGGCATTGGAAGGCGTGAAAACGGCGAGAACATGCGTTCTCCAAAGCCTTACAATTTGAAATTCGACGGTCTCCGCCAAGGCTGAGACGCAGGGTCGCTGCGGGACTTTACGATTTTGACTGTGGCGGCACGCGTACTCTGCCTCACAGCAGGAATTCGAACGGGTCGGAGGACCCCGCCCCAAGGCGTGAGCTTCCCCACTTTCTGGTTGTTTTTCTTGCTTTAGGTCGAGGTTAAAGGCACCGTCCACCCAAAATCTCGAACTCAATGTTTTTGTCGCCTGCAGGCCTTCTGAAAGCCCTGATTCCGAATATGGAGTCGAAAATCCGCGAAACCCCCAAAAACCCCTGTTTCGAGAAGCATGCAAGTGGGCGTGCTACCTCCGGAGCGGATTTCTCGCTTCTTTTGCGGCGAACCTTGGAGGTTTGTCTAGTATGGGGGCCCACACTAGTATGCCATCATAATCTCGCCAACCTCCATTTTGGGTGGACGGTGCCTTTAAGGCCTCGCACCTCCGAGGAGGACCACTTTCATGGCACTGAAACCCCAAAACCCCCAACTTGCCCGGACACTGCCTTCAAAGTTTCTTAACGAATCTCTCAATACTTGTCGCTGAAATGTAAATTCAAAAAGCCACTTCCATTTCGTAATGTGATCTCACGGTCCCTGCAAAACATCCTTTCATGATGGGTTTATGCGATTTTGCGATTTGTACACGGCTTAACAAATGCAGTGTCGGGTGCATCAGCATCTCCACTCCCGCGCGGCCGCTTCGAGTGGACTCTACAGTCGGTTTCATCCCGGATTAGGCGAGACATTCTACGTGGAGCAGCGCGTACGCATCGCTGGAGGCTTCGCGAGCTCATAGCGCTGGCATTTTGCCAAGCAAAGACTAAGGAAATTGAAGAGCCGCAGACGTGCGTTCTCAGCAGGACAGGAACTGTAGCAGCGAAACGGCGCGAGCTGTTGCGAGGCGGACTCCCGCCAGTCCAATTTCCGCCCAAGCGGGTCGAAACTTACTGTACACCTCTTTCGCTAACATGCTCTCTGATTACTTTCTCACCGCGAACGTGGGAAAGACGGAGCCTCCACTGACTGGAAATGATTAGAGAGCATGTTCGCGGAAGAGGTGCGGAGTTCCGCGCGGGAGGGATGCTGGTGCAAACGACATTGCACCTCCGCCGATCAGATTTTGACTCCCTACCGTAGTCCTACCGTGACTACACCAGATGCTATCGGTGAAATAAGTGTGATATTCGTAATAAGCGTGCAAAATAACCCTCTAGACCATGTTTCAGCGAAATCCGCGGTTTTTATTAGGTTGTCCGGAAAATAATGTCGCTTTTTATTTTACATGCAAAATGGTGGCAGGGTGAGCACGAGAGTAAGTAAATGGGATACCAACCGATAGATCAAAACAAGCTCTACAAAATGAAGCTCAAGCCTTTGCGCCAGGTTTGTTTGCGTGAAGTTTGCAGCCAAAATCTACAAGGCACTAAAGATCTAAAAAACGAAAAAAAATCGTATCTCTGTTCAGAAAAGTCCTAGGAACCCCCAACTTGCTCACGCGTGGACTCACTATATGAGACACATGTAGTATGCACATTTTCGCGGTTTTTCCATGGCTGAAAATTGAGAAAACGAAATTCGGCACATTTTTGCCAAAACAATCTTGAGCTTCTCTCACATGGGTGATTCTGTAGCATGAACCTTTAGGAGTATAACCATGAATTTTCAGCTTTAGACAAGCGCTAGTTTTCGAGAAAAATTAAATTGTTTGCAAAAAACCCGAAAAACGCGTCATATTCGCACTGTTGACCTTTATTTCTCGTACTGTAGCCAAGGAAAAATACTACAAACTATACAGGTGAATGTCTAGTATAGAGAGTACATGCCTGTGCAAATTGGAGATCCATAAGACGTCTACGAACGGAGATACGATTTTTCGGGTATCTGGAGAATCTTATATAGATATAAAGCTGAATGTCTGTTTGTCTGTATGTCTGTCTGTATGTCTGTCTGTCTGTCTGTCTGTACGTATGTTCCGAATAGAAAATTCCATTTCTGAACCGATCGGGCCCAATTTCTTCTGTGAATGTCCATAGTGATCAAATCATCTCATGCAAACCGTTGAACCTTTCGTTCAGAATCATATCCTTAGAACTCACACAAAACATCCAGTTTGCAGGATGCAGGTGGATTCGCCCAAGTACGATGTGATCGTGGTTGGGGCAGGTCTTGCAGGTTTATCGGCTGCTAGGGAGTTACTGAAGAGAGAACCTGCACTGAAGGTTAGAGCGGATGTTAAATTCACTTGTATTCTTGAAAGGACCTTGCAGATTCTCGTGTTGGAAGCTAAGAACAGGGTTGGTGGAAGAACCCTGACCGTACCCATGAAAGCAGCTGGAGGCAAAACGCACGTTGACGTTGGGGGTCTGAAATCACGTTTTGCTATCTTTGGCATCTAGCCATTTTCATTTTTCAAGCTTCTTGGGTATCTCGTGACCAGAAGCATATGCTCGAACTTGTTAACGACTTCCATCTGAAGACATCTTCTCAATACTGCGATGGAGTAGCTTGGTGTCAGTTTGGTGTATCAAAACCAAAGCGATACGGTTCCTCGAAACTCATAAGGTAGGTGACAGTAAAGAATATTCAGCGTCAGTCTTAAGTATGACATTTAGGCAGGTTCCTTTGAAAGATGCTTTTGATGTGTGGTGGAACATGAGAAAGATGGACAAACTTGCACAGAAAGTATGTTTGTCATTTTATCTTAAGCACTTGAGTCCCATACGAGGTTGTTATAAGTAAGTTATTTACATGAGTTTTGAAAATTGCTCTCTTCTCATAACGAAGATGATGTATCCTTCCTATAATTCTGGAATGAGTATTATGTGTTGGCACCATCCTCTGTTCGTTTGAGGGATCTTACCTGCACTTGTCTAATGCCTGAATTTAGGTGAACTTGAGCGATTTATTCAGCTGGGACTTGGCAGCGAAATTGGACGAGACCTCAGTAGCACAATGGATAAGACAAAATGCATGGGGTCGATCTGCGCAAGATATTCTGGAAATCACAATCAGAGCTTTATACGGGGTCGAGCCGAACAGGTTCGCCTAAGATAGTGTGTAAGCATTGCAGTGTCTTGTCAAGCGCATAGTTTAGCAAAATGCTGTGAATAAGAACGGTCAGCGTTATTACCAACTCGCTTTCAGAGTAAACATGCTTTATCATCTGGCCGTGTGCAAGTCTGCTGGTTCGCTTACCAAGCTTCTAAGCGGTGATGACGATGGTGCCTTGGCACTGCGTGTTGAGGTAAGAGATATACAGAACAGTTGTCGACTCAATATGTTTTCTTGCAGGGAGGAACCAATCAGATTGCGAGTCGACTAGCTGAGGAAATTGGCTCTAGTCGTATTCGACTGAAGCAGGCAGTTCATCGTATAGAAGTCGATGAAGCTAATGGATTGACCCGTTTACACTACACCTCCCCAGAAACCTCACAAAAGGTACGTGTGCTGCGTTCACCAAAGTCTTCACTAGTCGGTTTTTGTCGACTCTTTTTTGTTATGAGATACAACCGAGTACTGACGGATACAGCACTCGTACGGTGTCCAGATTACGCGGTATTTGTGCCTGAACAGATACAGGGCATCAATTGCAGTGTCTGGTGCACCAGCATCTCCACTTTCTCATGGGATTCTGCTCTTTCTCGAACATACTCTCTAGTCATTCACAATCGATTGAGGCTCCGCCTTTCCCACCGCGAGCGTCGGAAAGTGATCAGAGAGCATGTTCGCGAAGAAGGTGTAGATTCCAGGAGAAGCGGCCGCGCGGGAGCGGAGATGCTGATGCACCCGACATCGCAGTTGATAAGCCCTGTAGTTGCGCACCCTCCCCCCCCCCCCCCCCCGACCGGCTTAACACGCGCTGATCCAGGCGTGATTTTTATTTTCACGCACAGATTTTACAATCCAATCTTGGCACCTCAAATGGACCGTATTACAATCAGATATCGATGATATGATAAAAGCACTGCCCATATGTCTGTTCATTGCTTTCACCACTACGAGAATAAAAGTTTCTCACACATCATAAGCAGTGCTGTTCACCTTTCTTTTCAATGGGGTATGCAACCAAACACATGTTTTGGAGAAAGTCGACGGTACTGCATAAATTGAAGAGCAAATACAACTGATTCATTCGGTTTCACATATGCCTTTCACGTTTCAATCAAATTTTGTGACGTTCATTCAACACAATTAACACTATCAGTTTCAGAGTGTACTTGCTTGCTCACAGGTCATATTAGCGATACCTCCAAATCAGTGTGCTCGGATTGATTTTTGGCCTATTTTACCTTACCTCAAGGTAGGAACATTCTTCAAATGGGTTGCAAAAAACCACAAGTTGTTTAGCGTCGAGCATTTGAAGCTGGAGTTACTGGAAACACCATTAAGTTTGTGATTACTTATGAGACAGCGTTTTGGAGAGAAGAAGGATGGTCTGGAGAGATAATCAGCAGTGGCAGGACAACGAAGCGAGGAGAGGTAAGCAGTGTGCCTGTAAACAACCTCACTTGCGTTTGAATTTTCAAGGTCTTACCTGTGATCTGCGCTTACGATTACTGTAGTAATACACGAACACCCGCTATAGTCGGCATGATTAGCGAAGAATACGCAGGTACAACAAATGAATGTTTTTTTCTATCGCAGAGAACCGATACTGGCTTTTAGCAGTTTCTCTGTGATTTTGACTGACTTTGACCGACTACTAAGTAGACGTTTAGATTTGGCCAAATCCGATCGATGTAACGTGGTAGTGCAGGATCTGATGCGGTTCTTTGGCGATCATGCCATGCTTAAATTTATTGATTACCAGGAAAAGGCATGCTTAACCATTTTCGGAATGGGAGAAGCCCTTCATATGAAATTTAGGATTGGAGTCTAGACTTGTTTGGAGGCGGTGGTTCTAGTGTGGTTATGCCTTGTGGGACAATGTATTCATGGCAGTTTCTCAAAGATCCTTTTCTAACGTGCGTTTTTCAATTATTTTGATGTTTACTGCACTTGAAAGGTCAGATTTAGAATACATTTTGCCGGGTCAGAAACAGCCAATCACTGGATCGGATATATGGAAGGTGCTATAGAAAGTGGGTTGCGAAGTGCGCACGAAGTTTTGCAACAGCTCGGTTATTATGATAGTGTGTCATACACAATTTTGGTGAGATTATCATGACATTATTAAGAAATGCTTCACAGTCGTTCAGCTGGTTTGTCATCTGTTATTATAATGGGGTATTAGAACGTTTATGAGTGATTTTGATCCAGTGCACTGAACAGTTTCAAAGCGCTTATCGTCCTGTAGACCATAAAAGAAGGGACCGATGGCAGTCCGAAGGATCCCCTCTCTCCAGAAATGGGTCGCGAAATATTTAAAAGTAGCCTACTTGAGTTATGAAATTGCGAAGTGAGTTGGTTTCGTTTGTAAGTAATTGAAAATATTCTGGATTCTTCCAAAGTTCGAATTAGTTTTGGAAAATTTTTCCTCGGGAGCGTGGCTGCCACCAAGTTTCCTTTTTCGTTTTGTTATAAATTTGGGGTTATGAGTCCACAAAATGTTGGAAAACCCATAATTTTTTTGGGGGGACGTCATGCCCCTTCATCCAAATAAAATTTCTGTCGCTACTCCTTTTCTTTCCTCCCTCCCCCACGAAAATTTCTCGAACCGCCACTGTATTGAGAACTGCATATAATTTTGTCCTTTTAGAAAGGAACGGTGTATGATAACGATTACCGCCCACCACAAGCGTACACGACTTACTACAGAGAAAAGAAAAGACCATGGTAGGCGTGATTAAAGGTGGACAAGCAAAATGGAGCCACAGATTTTGGTAGTTTCGGGTAGTAGACCCCCCCCCCCCCCAAGTACACAGTATCCCCAACCCCACCTTCCAACTCATGCGCTAAGTCCTAAAAAACGCTTCAAGTTTCCACCAATAACGCCCACGCAATGGAAGTGGGCGGGGCTGGTGGAGTTTTGAAGCGCTTTTTTCAGGACTTAGCGCATGAATTGGAAGGTGCGGTTGGGGCTACGGTGTACTTGGGAGTCTACTACCCGAAACTACCAAAATCTGACGGGGGTTCATTTTGCCCGTCCACTGGTGTTCGTCTCAATCACTTCTTCTCATAAAAATCTTGCAGGTTGCGGCGACTGTTTTTCTTTAGTGCACTATGTCTCGGAATTTTTGCGCTCAGCAAGAAGTACAGACTTTCATACACAGCACGTGTTATAAGGCCTTTAGAGAAATATATGGTCAGATACACTACTGGCTTGAATTGGCCATGACAAAGCATAAATCAGGATTTAATTTAGTTCATCAGTTTGTTTAGTTTGGAATAAATATTTGCTTATTTAGGAGAAGTGAATCTCAAGTAAATTTGTGCCCATGTTCTGTTGCGGCTACGTTGTACAAATGTAAAATTGAAATGTAGAAAGGTAGCACCCTTGAGGCAAACCACTCAATCAGCAGCATCTAATAGATATATATGTCTACCAGAATCACCCCTTAAACCTTAGGAAATAAATATGCACGGTGCGGCATGTTTCTGAGCTCTGCAAACGTTTCGCTTGGCTCCATTTGGGGAAAGTACCTTGCTATATCAAACTCCATCATAAATTTGCTTTTCGCTGAAGCGGTTCTTTGCAACTTTCCAATAGCTTTAACGGATAGTTGGTCTTTCGCTAAAGATTTTACGAAATTCTGATAATTTACCCTCATGTCACGAAAGTCCTGTTACTCTCGTATTCTGTTTATGCAAGAAATTATTGACCATTCAGTTGCAAATCTTGCATAGAATTCTTTTTATTCTTCCATAATGTATGTATCTACCACAGAGGTGAATACATACACTGGATTATGCGCGTATTCCAGCTACTCATCCATCTTCAAGAAAGGGGTTTGTTGACCGTGTCCGTTCACTAATCATTCTTTGGCTCAGCTCTAGAATTCTTTTTATTCTTCCATAATGTATGTATCTACCACAGAGGTGAATACACTGGATCATGCGCATATTCCAGCTACTCATCCATCTTCAAGAAAGGGGTTTATTGACCGTCCGTTCACCAATCATTCTTTGGCTCAGCGACGGATGATGACTGAGCGACGGAATGATTAGTAGAGGACAGGATTCAAAGAACATTTAATTTATTCTAACAATAAGACGTTAAAAGCTCTGTTTCATAGAAAACTGGCAGATGATCTTCAGTATGAGAAATTTTGTCTGTGGGTGAGGGTCGCAACGACTCTACGTCTCTAACCATGGCGGGAAGTGGTCCACTCGTCCAAATTCATGAGAACTCTTGGAAAATGCTGATTTTTGACATTTTCATGCTCTTCGAGGTGTATTTTCGAAATTAGCGCGTCGAATTACCCCAGGAAAGAGGGAAAGCTTCAGGTCGAAGATTTGCCGAACCACTGCCTTCAAAGCAGTGTCCAGGCAAGGTGAATGTTTTCGGGTTTCAGAGCCATGCGAAAGTGGCTCTGCTCGGAGGTGCGAGGCCTTAACGCTCGACCTAAAGCAAGAAAAACAACCAGAAAGTGGGGAAACTTACGCCTTGGGGCGGGGTCCTCCGACCCGTTCGAATTCGAAAGAGGGTACCCCAAACTTGTTAAACAAAACCATCGATGGCACCTCTGCCAGGTAGAGTCTCACCTTTTCTCGGCGTACGGCAGAAATTGCGTAAAAATAGTCCGAGCGCTTGCTGAAAGTTTCGCCAGCGCTCGTTGTAAGAAATTATTTGCCGAGCGCTTGCAAAAAATGCTGTATTTCTGCCCGCTGGCAGAACACCGAACTGCCACCCGCTGAAGGTTTGGCCACCCCCAAAATTCTGCTGACCGCCCGCAGAAAAGCGCGAGTTTGCGGACCGCTTCCCCCTGCGATTATCTGAGGAGGTAGGCGGAGTCTTCTTCTTGTAAATTCACGAAGTCAAGCGTTCCTCTTGGCCGGTAGAGATGTCAGGACTGCCAGCGAAATTGATAAAATCGCTCCAAAAGCCTGGAGCATGAATTCACAAGGGGGGAAGACCCGCCCACTTCCTGATTTCCCTCCTTCATTAAAACAGTTTTTCGCCGTTTTCGCGCTTTCTAGTGTGGATTTTCGTATTCAGCACGGCGAATAGACCCGGGAAGGCACAAAATCTCAAAATCGAGTTTTTGCCCGGACACTGCCTTTAACCCTGATGTCGCGATACGACAATTCTTCAAGAAAAAAAACCACAGCTATTATAACCACCACATTACAGCGACATTGTTCAAAAGAAAATGACTAAAAACATAGTGCCTTCTGTACAGAGAAAACTAAGGAAGTTATATGCTATTTATGAGAAGCAAAAAAGTTCCTTCACGAAGCACCAACTTTTTCTACGACACACTAGCTTTAAATGCGCAAAACTCAACAGCCATCAAAGATGAGCTGAAAAGAATGGTACCGACAGAAAGAAGACGATAAGCTCCTAAGCGAAAATGCTTTTAGATTTTCAAATTTCTTCGATTTCAGAGGCGAAATATGGCTCTCAAGCGGAGGTACCTTTAGATCTAATCTTGTCACAACTAAAGCGCTGTCACGGTTGAAAAAGTGACAATCAGCACGTTACCATGTCTCTTATGTTGTTTGGAGAAGTCAGGTTTCTCGAAAGCTTCTGACGGTGGCGGCAAAAGCGCACTCTTAAGCGAGGAATCGAACCCTGATCTGGCAACCGAGGCGCGCACCCACTAGCCACTAGACTACGGTTAACTCTGGAAGTAAGCTCCTTAATCGCTTTTCTTTATCAATTTCCAAAGAGAGATGTGATGTTCAATACATTGGGCACTGTATTCAGGCTCTTACAACAATTAGAAACTTTTAAAAAGACCAATTGTTACGTCGCTAGTTCTATTCTACTAATGATGTTGTCAGTCTCAGCCACAGAACCAGAATGATTAGTAAAGCACATGCATTGAAAAATACGTTGAAAATCGCTCTATAACAATAAGAGCGTTATTTTCTAGCAGAATGTTGCCAATATCAGCAACAGACCCACGGTGATTAGTAAAGGACCGGTTTACAAAACATTGCCCCGAACCAGGATCGAACTGGTGACCTTTAGATCTTCAGTCTAACGCTCTCCCAACTGAGCTATCGAGGCTCTTACCTTGCATTTCGTTCTAAAACGTTAAGAGCTTAGCTTTGTAGCAAACACGGCAAATTTCGCTCTAGAAGTAAAGCACATGCATTGAAAAATACGTTGAAAATCGCTCTATAACGTTAAGAGCGTTGTTTTCTAGCAGAATGTTGCCAATATCAGCAACAGACCCACGGTGATTAGTAAAGGACCGGTTTACAAAACATTGCCCCGAACCAGGATCGAACTGGTGACCTTTAGATCTTCAGTCTAACGCTCTCCCAACTGAGCTATCGAGGCTCTTACTTTGAATTTCGTTCTAAAACGTTAAGAGCTTAGTTTTGTAGCAAACACGGCAAATTTCGCTCTAAAAGTAAAGCACATGCATTGAAAAATACGTTGAAAATCGCTCTATAACGTTAAGAGCGTTGTTTTCTAGCAGAATGTTGCCAATATCAGCAACAGACCCACGGTGATTAGTAAAGGACCGGTTTACAAAGCATTGCCCCGAACCAGGATCGAACTGGTGACCTTTAGATCTTCAGTCTAACGCTCTCCCAACTGAGCTATCGAGGCTCTTACCTTGCATTTCGTTCTAAAACGTTAAGAGCCTAGTTTTGTAGCAAACACGGCAAATTTCGCTCTAAAAGTAAAGCACATGCATTGAAAAATACTTTGAAAATTGCTCTATAACGTTAAGAGCGTTGTTTTCTAGCAGAATGTTGCCAATATCAGCAACAGACCCACGGTGATTAGTAAAGGACCGGCTTAGAAAACATTGCCCCGAACCAGGATCGAACTGGTGACCTTTAGATCTTCAGTCTAACGCTCTCCCAACTGAGCTATCGAGGCTCTTACCTTGCATTTCGTTCTAAAACGTTAAGAGCTTAGTTTTGTAGCAAACACGGCAAATTTCGCTCTAGAAGTAAAGCACATGCATTGAAAAATACGTTGAAAATCGCTCTATAACGTTAAGAGCGTTGTTTTCTAGCAGAATGTTGCCAATATCAGCAACAGACCCACGGTGATTAGTAAAGGACCGGTTTACAAAACATTGCCCCGAACCAGGATCGAACTGGTGACCTTTAGATCTTCAGTCTAACGCTCTCCCAACTGAGCTATCGAGGCTCTTACTTTGAATTTCGTTCTAAAACGTTAAGAGCTTAGTTTTGTAGCAAACACGGCAAATTTCGCTCTAAAAGTAAAGCACATGCATTGAAAAATACGTTGAAAATCGCTCTATAACGTTAAGAGCGTTGTTTTCTAGCAGAATGTTGCCAATATCAGCAACAGACCCACGGTGATTAGTAAAGGACCGGTTTACAAAGCATTGCCCCGAACCAGGATCGAACTGGTGACCTTTAGATCTTCAGTCTAACGCTCTCCCAACTGAGCTATCGAGGCTCTTACCTTGCATTTCGTTCTAAAACGTTAAGAGCCTAGTTTTGTAGCAAACACGGCAAATTTCGCTCTAAAAGTAAAGCACATGCATTGAAAAATACTTTGAAAATTGCTCTATAACGTTAAGAGCGTTGTTTTCTAGCAGAATGTTGCCAATATCAGCAACAGACCCACGGTGATTAGTAAAGGACCGGCTTAGAAAACATTGCCCCGAACCAGGATCGAACTGGTGACCTTTAGATCTTCAGTCTAACGCTCTCCCAACTGAGCTATCGAGGCTCTTACCTTGCATTTCGTTCTAAAACGTTAAGAGCTTAGTTTTGTAGCAAACACGGCAAATTTCGCTCTAAAAGTAAAGCACATGCATTGAAAAATACTTTGAAAATTGCTCTATAACGTTAAGAGCGTTGTTTTCTAGCAGAATGTTGCCAATATCAGCAACAGACCCACGGTGATTAGTAAAGGACCGGTTTACAAAACATTGCCCCGAACCAGGATCGAACTGGTGACCTTTAGATCTTCAGTCTAACGCTCTCCCAACTGAGCTATCGAGGCTCTTACCTTGCATTTCGTTCTAAAACGTTAAGAGCTTAGTTTTGTAGCAAACACGGCAAATTTCGCTCTAGAAGTAAAGCACATGCATTGAAAAATACGTTGAAAATCGCTCTATAACGTTAAGAGCGTTGTTTTCTAGCAGAATGTTGCCAATATCAGCAACAGACCCACGGTGATTAGTAAAGGACCGGCTTAGAAAACATTGCCCCGAACCAGGATCGAACTGGTGACCTTTAGATCTTCAGTCTAACGCTCTCCCAACTGAGCTATCGAGGCTCTTACCTTGCATTTCGTTCTAA